TCCTGCCCCAGCTTTCCTTGCCCGTCTCCTTTTCCCCCCTGCTGCCGAGGTGTGCCTGGCCTGTCTGCTGGGCTGGGCAGGGCTGGGCTTCGTGCTGCAAAAAAAAAAAAGGAAAAAAAAGCCGGAAGCCCAGCCCAGCCCTGCTCAGGAGCTTTTTGCAAAGGGGCATTTTGGGGTGCCACGGCTCAGGGCTGCTTTTGGAGACAGCCGAGGTCAGCTGGGGTGGCGGAGCGCAGGGCGGCAGGGGGCCCAATGGCATAGATGGCGGGGAGATAGGCAGGCGGGAGGAGTTGAAGCACCCCTGCGGTCATAAGCTGTCAGGTTCAGCCCAGGAACCACAACGAGGCCATCCAGAACAGTTCAGCTCCTTTATTAGCTCACGCCTAATGGACAGAATCTCGCCAGACTCAACCTATGCTAAAGCAACTAGTGGGACTCTAGGGAGGGGCCAGCCTCATCCTCTTCGTCTTCCTACACTCTTGTTGCGGGCTGAGGAGGCGCTTGCTCTGCCCCTCCTGACAACCTTGAACTTCCATTCCAGAATCTTCCCCACTCATGCCATCCATTATATGGATACAGGCAGGCTGCCAAGCGCCTGAATTTTGATTATGTGACCGCAGGGATGCGGCAATGGCCATAACTTCAGGGACCAGTCATAAGTCTCTTTGTTCAGCGCCACTGTAACTTCAAACAGTCACTGAACAAATGGTTGTACGTTGAGGACTACCTGTAGAGGGTTGGAAGGGAGCTTGGAGGTCTTCCAGTCCAACCCCCTCCCCAGGGCAGGAATCCTCAGACAAATGAAAGCCTGTCCAACCCTGGGGGATAGAGACCGCATGACTCCAGGAGGCCAGCTGCTCTACCCTTATTCTGAATTCCGTTGGCTGGCTGGAGTGAATTCAAGAATTAGGCCATTTATACAATCCTGACCTCACAAAATGATGAAACCAACAGTGGACTTTTTCACTGGTTTAACTGAGGCTCTCCAAGCCATCCCACCTTCTTTTCCAGGTGGCAGTTGCATACGTTGCACAATAGCGTAGCCCAAGTGTTTCTCAATCTCAGCAACTTTAAGACGTGTGGACTTCAACTCCCAGAATTCCCTAGCCAGCATGCTGGGAGTTGAAGTCCACGCATCTTAAAAATTGCTGAGATTAAGAAACACTGGCATACACTGTCCCAGACACCAACAAATATATTTTAATTACTTTTGCTTACCTTTTAAACATAGTTCACAATGTAAAAAAAGGGGGGAAAAGTGTCCCCAGTCTCCCCAGATTACCTATGAGAATACAAAGGTTTTCCAAGATTTGGCTGTCATATCAGATTTCAGCCATCTATAACTCTCCACTTAACAGAGTTACAGTGTCCAGGGTTCTGCACTGCCTACCCTAATCTAGGATGGCCTCCAATGGAGGTGGTACCTTTCCCTTTCTGGTGTTTTTCAAATCTGTAGGGACTATGACACCCAGAATTTCCAACCACATAGAAACGACCCTGGGTAAGGAAATATGGCCTGACACATCACTATCAGATCGGTTAAGGACATTCAGCTCTTCCAACCTTCAACATTAACATAGATTTGTTGCTAATTGATGGTAGAAACAGAAGTATCCGGGAGCAGCCATGATGACGTCACATCCATCACGATGTCATCCCACAAATCCCTCATTTGTGTGATGATGTAATGATGGATGTGGTGTCCCCTTCTGCATGTCCTCATGAGTTGGGAAAAAAGCAGGAAGAAGAACCAGATATCTGGGATTAGAGGAACCGATTTCAAGTCAATTGTGTTACTTGAGAGTTGGGGTGAATCAGAATTACTGACAGTTGTCTGTGAACATCTATCCATGACCTCATAGCTGGACTGAAGTGTAGCTTGTGTTTTTTCCCCAGCATCTATCTACCTTTACTTTGTGATCTTCCACCCCCACCTTAAGGAGTGTGGGAAGCAGATCTGGGGATAGACTACCCTTAAAACAGCCCATAAAACGGCATTCAAGCTTGAGTTTGGCTGCTCTTCCAATTACACAGGATTTTTCCTTGGTATCTCAGAGTTTTGCAGCCCAAGAATTAGGCACAGGAAGAAGCTGTAATGACATCCTGTGCACCATGGTGCCATTGCATCATTTTCTTCACGCAGTGATGTCATGATGTGCATGACTTCAAGTACCCTCTCGGCACTCTTGCCCAGACACCCATGGAATTAGGTTGACAAACTCAGTGTTTCTCAACCTTGGCAAGTTTAGGATGGGTGGACTTCAGCTCCCAGAATTCCCCAGCCATCAGTTGAACATGGACAAACATGGACAAACTGATTTCACAAAACTATGAAAATTTCAGAAAGGTGTCTTTCCTGGCTAGGAAAAATCCATCATCTTTCTCAGGCTGGGGAATTCTGGGAGTTGAAGTCCACCCATCTTCAACTTGCCAAGGTTGAGAAACGCTGGACAAACTGATTTCACAAATCTGTGAAAATTTCAGGAAGGTGTCTTTCCTGGCTAGGAAAAATCCATCATTCTCAGCCTGGGGAATTCTGGGAGTTGAAGCCCACCCATCCTAAACTTGCCAAGGTTGAGAAACACTGGACAAACTAATTTCACAAATCTGTGAAAATTTCAGAAAGGTGACTTTCCTGGCAAAGAAAAATCCATCGTTCTCAGAGAAGACACGTACCTACTTTATACAAGCCGTCTTGTTACAGACTCCTTGTCAGTCAGGTGCCAGAGTGTGAGCCCATGGTCCACAGCATGGAAATTTCCCCTGGGGGATGTCGCTTCCCTATCTGCATTCATCTGGATGTTGTAGCTAGGAATGCATGCATGCTTACTGTGAAGAATCAGCCTGGACCATTTCTAAGAAACCTGGGCCTAAGGAATTCCATCTATGGTAAGCTGAAACATTCTTTGAAGAGTTGGTCATGCTGTCCATCTTTCCAACATACACCAGGAGCTTAACATGATTTACATCTCTCTCAACGAAATGCACATATACTCACCGATCGATGGATCTTGATAATATCACTGACAAAGTCAAAAGAATGCACCCGTGTGGACCGGCTTCAAACTGAAAGACAGAACAAGGGGAAGGATGAACAACTCAATTTTGAACGATGGCCCTGATAGGGCCCTTCCCAAACAAAGCATCTGTGGCTGAACCAAAAATGGGTGCGTTCGTTCCTCATCGCTCCTGAAATATTTTAGACATCTTTCTGGCATAGAGATGGCCTGATTGAGAGGGCTGTTCTCACATGGAGAGCTGCGCTTATTGGAGGCTCTTGACTCTTTAATTCAAACGTTGCTGTTGTTAAAATCATCCTTGGCTATTAGCCTCAATTGTCCTAAGCATTTGCAGAGAATGTATGCGGAACAGGGCGGCCGATCCATGATACAAATAAACCCATGTTGAATAAATGTACAGATGGCTGGTGAAAACACACGTGTGTGCAGAAAGGGCTTCTTTCTTTGAATACATATTTCCCTGTACTGAAAACAATAAAATAAGAATTTCCTTTAGAGAGAAATCTAATCTATTGAAGATTAGGAACTTTACCTAAATTTCTCCCTGATACAACTTTTTTTAGAGTCTTCAAGTCAGCCTTGACTTCTGCAGCTATGTGGACCAATCGAGGCACTTCTGTTGGTGACATTTTTAAAAGTGGTTTGCCCTTGTCTGGTTCCTAGGGCTGGGAGAGAGGGACTGGCCCCAGGTTACCCAGCTGGCTTTGTGCTTAAGACAAGACTCGAACTCAGGGTCTCCCAACTTTCCAGCCTGGTGCTTTTAATCACTACACCAAACTGGTTGTCTAATATACATCAGAGATGGACAAACCATCGGCCCTATCCCATCTTTCTTAAGCCACACAACGTATTTTAAGAGCGCTCTGATTTTATTCTATATTTCGACATCGTTCAGAAACGAGGGGTTGCTATTCATTTATTGGTTAAATTTATAACCTGCTTTTCATTCAGGGGCTCAGGGTGGCAAAACTCGTGTTCCCTCCTCCCACTTTTTCCCCAACAATCCAGCAAGTTGGGGTACAACATCACCTGGTGAGCCTCCATGTCTGAGAACAGACCAGAAGTTGGCTCAACCCTGTTGCATCATCCAAAAGGGTTACTTGTGCGACAGGGTCACGATGGCCAGGACGTCATTGTGGTTTTGAGCAGACAACTTTGTTTCTACTACCAGTTGGGAACAAAGCTCTATGAATGTTGAAGGTTGGAAGAGGTGAACCTCTTCCACCTTAACCATTCTAACAAGGACGTTCACCTTGGCATTGCAACTTTGTGGTGATCTCAGTTGTGAACCCGAACCCTCCCTACCTTTGCTATCTGCACTGAGCAGGGGTGTCCATGGGGATAGTGGAGGGAAAAAGGGGTGGTGGTGTAAAAAAAAGACAAGATGGCAAACACAGCAGCATGATCAAAACTCCACCCCTTTCTGACGTGCATCAGGACCACTTGGTTTGGGTGGCCTCTCCTCCAAGTCCTCATTAGCCTGCCCTTGCTTAATTTTCAAACCGAAACGAGATGAGCGAATGCAGATCAGATCAGGTAAAACCATTAGAATCAAATTCACCCTGTTCCATCCACACATCGTTCTGAAGTACCGCTTGAGACAATGTCTTGGTCAAGAGGGGAAAAACAGTCAAGGCTTTTTTAAAAGACTAGAAACCTTATATGGACTTTCTGTGGAAAGAAGACTGAATTGATGATTTATGGATTTGGGGATAAAAAAGGAGTACAGAGGAAGAGGAAAAATTAAGATGGCAATTACTCGATGGAAAGAAGGGCGGAAGTCATAATTCTGTGTTTTCTTTCTTTTTTCACTTCTTCTTTTCTTCCTTCCTATCTTCTTTTTTCCTCTTACCTTTTCTTTAATTTTTTTTTACTTTTATCCTATTGAAACATTCTAATATATATATAATATAAACATAAAATATATATATATATTTTTTTAAAGGAAGATCGTGCATTATTGGATGTTCCTGCTACTTTATTACAAAGACCCACTTTCATGTCGTGGTAAAGGTGCTGGAGTACGAGCGGGAAGGCCTCCAGCCATGGAAGTTCCCTGGATATTCCTGGTCAGACCCTCTCTTCCAGGTCCACCTACCTCACAGGGTTATCATTGTGTGGAAAAATAGGAGGAAACATTAGTGGGCTATCTGCAGCTCCTGTAGGAAAGGCAGGGCCTAAATCTAGCAGACGAACATACAGTATTGCACTCTTTTATTTCTCGTCTTCTTCTAATGTATTTGCATTGAGGGCTTAATCCTTTTATCCTGCTATCCGTCTGATTAATTCAATAAATAAACTTAAGGGCAGGAAAGGGCCATGTCTAAACCACATGTCCCCACCGGTTGCATTGGAGACAGCACGGCGTGGTGGTTTTAAACACACAACCAAAAGCGACAATCAGACATACAGTATCTTTCAAGGGGGCCCTCACAGAATGGACTGTTGCCCGGCCAGCTCATACCTGATGAATATTCTGTTGCAGGAACTTCAGCAGATCTTCGTATTTTGTGATAAGGTACAACGTAAGCTGCAACAAAGGGGGAAAGTTGGGAGGGGGATGAGATCCAGGCAAATATAAAACATCGATATCTAGGTGACAAACCACCCAAATGACACTCTTCTGGAGCAGAAGGTCCCAATTCTCCTTGGTTGGAAGAGAAATAGGTGCCATGCTGAGAGTCCTGTGACTAGCATTAACTCAGCCCCACGAGGTAGACCAGACCATGAAATCCACTCCACCGGATGGCTGAAACTACTTGGATTGAGATGGGCTAGAATAATTGAATTTTGCAAGTCGGATTGTGCTGGATCTCTTCCTGCTTCTTATACTCCAGGGAATCAGGGAGGTGTCAGTCTGACCTGCTTCCGAATGTTATCATATTGCTCTGGATTAAAAAATGTTTCAGCCCCTTTTGTCTAGAGAACAGCTCTCAAGTCAAGGTCCTCTCCCTTACTCTCTACAGCAGTGTTTCTCAACCTCGGCCACTTTAAGATGTGTGGACTTCAACTCCCAGAATTCCCCATCTACAGCAGTGTTTCTCAACCTCGGCCACTTTAAGATGTGTGGACTTCAACTCCCAGAATTCCCCATCTACAGCAGTGTTTCTCAACCTCGGCCACTTTAAGATGTGTGGACTTCAACTCCCAGAATTCCCCATCTACAGCAGTGTTTCTCAACCTCGGCCACTTTAAGATGTGTGGACTTCAACTCCCAGAATTCCCCAGCCAGCCATGTCCCCACCAGTTGCAATTCTGGGAGTTGAAGTCCACACATCTTAAAGTGGCCGAGGTTGAGAAACACTGTTCTACAGAGAACTTGATTACTAAGAAAAGCAGTTGAACAACACAGCAGAGGTGATATCACACCTGCAGCAAACTGGGTAATTTCTACCATCCAACTCAAGAGTTGGCCACTGGTAACCTGTCAGTTATATGCAGCTTCCAACAGGCCATTTTGGGGCCCTTGTACTCTGAGGATAGGCTGCTGAAATTCAGTAACCAAAGGTTGATGATGTGCTATGCGCTTCCAGCCCAATGTTGGGACTCGGCTGAAAAGTAAGTGAAGGAGAGGACTGACTTCCAGGGGTTTCCTACTTCTACTTTCACCCTTAAAACAAGTCCCAAAGGATGGGCTGGAAATTTAGGCCAGATCGTTTTGGGGGGGACATCAAGGTGATCCCGAAACCCCATAAAAATATTGTGGCAGGACCTGAAATGAGCAGTTCGTGCTAGAAAACCTTCAAATGTTATAAGTTGGAAGACCTAGCTATAGAGGAATGATGGGCCTAAAGGTCTATCCAGCGATGCAAGATCACCAATTACATAGTTGCACTTATTGCAAACCAGTTTCTGAATCCAAGAGGGCAATGACTTTTTTCCCACTGGCATTTCAGATATTTTCTTTTTAAGATAAATGAAACAGGCACCTGACTTTGGCGGTGTCTGCTCATTTAGGCTACCCATCGGTAGGGGCCACCTGGCCTTCTGATAATGTTCAGCGGCAAAGAGAGGCAAAAAGTCAGAACATCTGAAAGGGAGAAGAACGCTTTTTCAGAGAACTGCACATATGATCTCCAAATGGGGGTCACGGCATGCTGATTCAACATTTCACCAAGATGGTCTTCCTGCCAGGAGTTGGGCTCTGTTTTCTCCCATTTCAACAGCCGCTTAGCTGGGGATGAACAGAAATAGGGTGCGTTTCTCACATTTGCCTTGCAGCATTGCATGTCTCACACGTACAAAATCCAAATCACCAGGTCAGAAGGATTTAAATTACTACGAGGATAACCCTAAACACTTAATTTATGCTCATCTGGTTTCTCATCCTCTTCCAGACACTGAACATATCTTTCTGATTTAGCTTCCCTCTCTCTGTCTCCCTCTCTCTCTGTGTGGGGCTAGAAGAATGTCTTCCTTGATTGATAGATAGTTAAGATTCTTAACAACCTCGGTAACATCCCACAGATTGGAAAACGCTTGTTCAAAATAGGACACAGTTGACCCAACATACAATCATTATAGCTCCATGAGGAAGGGAAGGGAAGGGAAGGGAAGGGAAGGGAAGGGAAGGGAAGGGAAGGGGAGAGAAGGGAAGGGAAGGGAAGGGGAGAGAAGGGAAGGGAAGGGAAGGGGAGAGAAGGGAAGGGAAGGGAAGGGGAGAGAAGGGAAGGGAAGGGAAGGGGAGAGAAGGGAAGGGAAGGGAAGGGGAGAGAAGGGAAGGGAAGGGAAGGGGAGAGAAGGGAAGGGAAGGGAAGGGGAGAGAAGGGAAGGGAAGGGAAGGGGAGAGAAGGGAAGGGAAGGGAAGGGGAGAGAAGGGAAGGGAAGGGAAGGGGAGAGAAGGGAAGGGAAGGGAAGGGGAGAGAAGGGAAGGGAAGGGAAGGGAAGGGAAGGGAAGGGAAGGGAAGGGAAGGGGAGACAGGGGACCGAAGGAGAGGAAGGGGAGGGGAGGGGAGCAGTAGATGATGGAAAATAGGAGGAAGGGAGAGAGGGAGGAAGAAGTCTAAATGAAAATGTACCATTTCTAAGATCCCATCTGGCTTGTATTTCCCTGCAGGCGTGAACTGCTGTGTTCCTGTAGACCTGAAAAGGTCAGGAAAACAAAACCGCTGTAGAAGGCAAGGGCACTTTATAAGACAACTTCCCACCAAAATATGGATTTCAGGGGAACAGGCTTAGGGTCAGGGTTCACAGGCTGAGTTCGTTCTAATTTTCTCAAATTGGGAAACAGCAGCTGCAGGGCAAGAAACAATCACATGATTTGGCAGACCTATGTTAGTGTCCTCTTGGTATTTTGAATGACTATTCTCATATTTCCTGAGGGTTGGCTGATAGGAGTTTCAGTTTACAACTTTGAGAGGGTTAACCTTTAGTGGGTTGCTTGCCTCTGTCCTAGTGAGACCAAAGATATAACTTAGTAGAGCCAACTTATGGAATCCATAACTTGAGGACGAATACATGGAAAAGCTACTTTGCGACCATCCATGGCTAGTCCTTCCAGCTAATTCTGATTAACAGCGGCTCTCTGGAGGATGAGAGAGAGCTTCTACCTGAATCTCCAGATGTGTTGGCATCTATCATTAGCATGGCAGTTGATAGGAGTCACAGCCCACATATCTGGAGGACAACAGGTTGGAGAAAGTGGTCTTTGCATTACCCATGCTACCTGCAGGTATTTCCATACAAAGCAGGTCCTCAGACCTGCAATCTTCATCTGAGATACTTTTTAGGCAGAGGATGATACCATTGGACCTTCTGCACAAAAAGCAGAATCTCTTTCCCCTTCTCTGTAAAAGACAGATCAAGTTAAGACCTCTTTTGAGTCAAGTTCCAGTCCTGGTGACTTAATGAACATATCAGTGCAGGATTTGGGCATCGAAATAAACTGATTTGCCATGGCCTTCTTGCAACATGCTTTTCTTTTAACTTCCCAATCTAGACTACCTTCCCAGGAACAGTGGGACCTTCCATTGGTCATCCATTACACATGCTCTAGTGCAGAGTTTCTCAACCTTGACAACATTAAGATGCATGGACTTCAACTCCTAGAACTCCCCCAGCCAGCATCTAAGTCCACACAATGTTGTTGAGGTTGAGAAACACTGCTCTGGTGGATCTTGCCCTAAAGGGACTTCTAAAATCCCTTCTAGCTCTACTGCAGGAAGAGAGCCATTTTAGCCTACAGTAGCCAAAAATCAGGAGCAATCTAGTAGTGCTTCATCCGATTTTTATTAAAAGGCATCCAACTAACAAATGTTATTACAATTTGATTGTTGGAAAAGGTGCTACCAGATTGACTTCCAGCTCGGATTCCATGATTCCCTGGTGATCTCCCATCCAAATAACAACTACATCTGACCTTGTTTGTCCTTCCTGAGATTGGCCAAGGTTGTCTAGAGGCTACCTTCCAGATGGCCATAAAAGATAATTATGAATAATAATCTGGGTGTGGATCTTCCAGCAGCCAAAAGACCAACATCCAGAACAAAGAGGAAGGTCTCAGCAATGTTTGGGAAACCCAAATATTTGCACAAATATCGCCGCCTCCAAAACTTTCAAATGACGTTGATGAAGACCGTATGATCAGTGACGCAGAATATTACTTAACTTTGGGGGCTGGCGGGGAGAGGAACAGGGGTGGGTGGAACATCTGTGGCAAATGGAGCTGCTTTGCTCTTGTTGATCAGGGGCGAATCGTCCAAATTAGATTCTGAATGGGCATGCTGGAACATAAATCTATTCGCCCACTGCACAGGAAAATCTGTAATAACTAGCTATTGTTGAAGAAAGCCTCTGTCTCATAATTATTCCTCCATGACTTGATACTGCAATGGACTTTCTTGACCAGTGAGGCTACAAGATTCCATTTTGGGGGATCTTCTATAATTCCAACATCTCCTACTGGGGAAAGTTATGCCCAGAAAGAAAATGTGAAAATCAGAGGAGTAAGAGGGTTGGGACAGAGGACAAGAAGAGGTTTCATGGACATGATGATAGACTTTTTAAAAAAATGTACCTCTCACTTACAAGGTCACCACCACTTTCTCATTGCCCCCTGCACGCCATAAAATACTGGCGAGAGCCAGAATGAGGCACTGGGCCCTTTCGGTGTCTGACGGCCGAAGACACCTGCAGATTGGAGAAAGAGAAAGAGTCATCAGTAGCAAGGGAAACCTACAGTCAAGGACGGTAGTGTGTGGCCAGAGGAGCATTTTGCTGGTTTCCATATTGCATCTCAGACCACAGGCCTTGTTGGCCAAGGCTGCTGGGAACTGTAGTCAGAGATGCCCAGAGAACCAAGGCTCACACCGTTCTTGCCCCAGGAGATCCTCAAGTTGGGATCTGAAGCACAACTTTGATGCACAAAGCTTTTCCTTCAGCAGGGTTGCCTGGCTGTCAGGCTCTCCCTTTGCAAGCACATCCGGTGTGATGGAAGTTGGGAAGGTCGCCAGGTCAGTTCTAGGCTCCACTTGAGGGCACCTCCAGCTTTTGCGGGCCTCAGCATTCCTTGCAAATGCCTGCAAGCCCCCTCCATTTGTCTGAGGCAGCATTTCCCACCCTGGGCGACTTTCAGATGTGTGAAGTCCAACTCCCAGAATCCCTCAGGGTCAGCCTTACTAGGTAGACCAGATAGGAAACACGAGCAGATGAGCTAATTTTACTTTATTGTAAAGCTACATTGACAGAATCTTGCAAGTCTGAAAGTACAATTCTTCCACCTTCACCTTTACAACGCGAGAACTTATGGAGGGTCCCTTCTGAGCCTCTTGCCCTACCCACTATCCATCTGAGGGCTAGGCTGTCTCTTATCTGACCGCTCCCTTGGTAGCGTCTCTTGGCCCCATCTTCCAAGGTCTTTCCCACATATCATTACACCCAGTTAGTGGATTCTGGGAGTTGAAGACTACTTATCTAACATGCCCAATGTTGCTGCACTGAGCAGGTGGTTGATTTCATTGTCTAGAGGGAAATGACCCTTCCAAGCATAGTGTGCATCCGTGGGGCTTGAGGGTCACCAAGACAGACCTCCAAGACAGAGCTTGCCGGAGACGCCTGGGTGAGTGTGAATGCACCCACGTGCACACGCCATATACCCACTGAGATTCCTTCCAGCTGGAACTTCTCTGCATTAATCCAGGCGCCATGATCGCCTGCCTTTTGCAAAAGGCAAACAAAGAAGATTCCAGCTGGAGAGGTCAGGGGCGAGAGTCCTATTCCCCCCTCTCTGTCATCAGCCTGAACTCCTCCGCTTACACGTTCAACCCCGCCGACGAGGTCATGACCAGGATCACCCCATTTCCCCCATGACAATAGAGGAGAATTGCCCTTGAGTTTGAATGGAAAACCTGCCGGGCCCTCGGGAGCGTTGACCTACCCAACAGTGTTGTTCCTGTTACTGTCACCGAAGATAAGATGTTGCAGGACGTGAGCCTGAACGGCTGCCAGAACCCCGCAGGGCCCACCCTAGAGAGGGTCAGAAAAGAACGGAGGCAAACAATGTGTGTAAAAGTTGTTTGCAGTTTGCAGGCCTTTTGCCTCTCTGCCAGCCTCTCCCACCCCTTGTTTCATACCCCCTGTCTTTGACCGCTGTCCCATGACCCTTGTAGGCACAATGAAATCTGACGCTGCCAGGTTCTTAATTAAAAGCTCAGGTCGCCGAATCTTTTCCTGAAGAGGCTGAGCCAATCCCCAGGTTAGACACGTGGCAGCTTTGTTTTGCATCCTGACCGTCGAAACCAAAAACATCTAGGTTTTCTGATGGTTAAGATGCGAAGGGCGAGAGAAACAACCCCGCCGGATGATTTGAAGTGAAGCAGCCAGTGAAACCCTGCCTTCAGTAAGAACTGGGGTTAGAGAGAGGGGGCTGGAGGGGTTCCTCCCCAGGGGACTACTGATCCATACGAGACGCTTCTGAATTGCAACTGGATGGAAGGGGCCTTTGCAAATTCTCTACCAAATCGATGGGCAGAGATACCGGGTGGAAGGTTTCTCTGAATGTCTCAGAGGAGGGAGAATTTTTAAATTCATTTTCCCCTTTACTGGAGCTCTGGCAATGGGGGTGGGGGGAGAATCAGGGATCAGTTCCGTCCTGATTTCTTCCCTTGGGACCAAACTGAATTAGGGGAAGCCAGGGAGGGTGCAGAGCCCTGAAGGCAGGTGAGTGCCATGAAAAGATAGGACACTCACATACGCACACCCTTGGCCAGTGCATCACTGAAGAAGTGCAAAAGGCATCACATTCCACCCAGAAGAATTTTTCCAAATTGTCTTCCACTTTGATGGAATTACAGAAGCCAATTCTCTTTTATTCACATTAAATAAGAATCAGTAAAAAAAAAAAAATGCCAGAGAATTTCTGAGCTGAATTCTCTACTGAATTTTCATTAGCCCCACAGCTGCATCTGTGCCATCAGCTGGATATTTAAAGAGGGCTTTGACCCATTTAAAGCTGCACAGTGACTAAGGATTTGCTATAAGTTGGTGACCTGCACAACTGGAGGTACAGAAGATCCTATTTTCATGCTTTCAGTACAACACACAGAATTCACAAACATGAACAAGAGACCATATCCTTCTCTTTGCAACTGCTGCTGAATGACTGAACAAGGATACAGGTAGTCCTCGACTTACGACCACAATAGGGATCGGAAAATTCATCATTAAGCAGTGCAGTCGTTAAGTGAAGTGTCACATGACTCTACCCAATTTTACGACATTTAGTTGTGGTCATTAAATGAATCACATAGTCATTAAGTGAATCATGTGGTTCCCCATTGATTTTATTGTTGGACACCGCCCTGGGAAGGTCACAAACGGCGATCATGTGACCCCAGGATGCTGTAACTGTTGTAAATACATGCCAGTTGCCAAGCACCCAAATTCTGATCACATGACTGCAGGGATGCCGCAACGGTTGTAAGTGCAAGGACTGGTCTTAAGTCACTTTTTTCAGTGCCATCATAACTTCAAATGTCCCTAAACAAATGGTCGTAAGTCGAGGGCTACCTGTACCATGTTCTGGGATCTAATCAAAGTGGGACTAAAACATCAGAAATTCTCATCGGTTTACTCCCATCATCCCATCCCACCCAAATTGTACTAAACGCACACACACACACACACACTTGGCCCAGTCTTCTATTTTCTTCTATTGCTTTGATGAGAAAATACTGCAAGCCCAGCTGCGAAATCTTTGGTTTTTATTTATTTATTTATTTGACCTGGATGTGCATCAGCACACTTTCTGGAGTTACATACTGCTGCTCCAAAACCACCTCAGTGCCTCCGGGTGCCTCCATATGCTTTCTGAATAGCTTTTCTCGGAAAGTTCACACGCCACGCACCTTTGCAGGTAAGCAAAGCATGATACAAAAAGGAATCTCTCTGCGGTCATCTGCAGACTCCCCAGCAGAGGGGCGTGGGGAGGGAGGGAGGGGACAAAAACGGGCTTGGCTCGGCCCAGTGGAAAGTCACTTGCAGCCAAAGTTTACCGGCTCGGGTGGGCAAGAGCTCCTCTGCAATTGGGGAAGCGTGATGGGAACGCGTTACCTTTTTTTGCACGAGGCCGTATTTCAGCTCAGGGTTTTCGTTAAAGGTAAAGCTCTGGACTTTCCATTCCTCATTGAAGCAGCCAAGACTGGAGCCAAAGAGCAGGGTTTTTAGATCCTTTGTTCAAAGGGGAAAAAAGCAGGGGGGGGGGAGAAATGGGAGAAAGAGCAAACGTGAAAGAGGAAATCTCTACCTTCGTTTGGAAGCTACGTAAAATAACAGACAGGTCCACGACAGAGACAGAGAGACCCCATTTCAAATCAGGGAAGACAAAGCCGGAGAACATACAGAGTCACCCTCTTCGCTTCTCGGCTATAAATACTGCATTAACCTGGCATTTCCTTGTCCTTTTTCCTTTGCCTTACAATGTTTTTTCAGCCAAACCGAGTCATGGCGGGCCAAACAAGGTTTGGCTGCAGATCCCACCGGCACTCAAATGCTGCCCATCGTTCTCAGAAAGTAGTTTTGAGTCTAGTTGTTTAAAAAAAACCCCAGAAAACTGCTGCTGTCAGGGATCTATAATTAATCCTAACCTGCACAGCTTTTTTCTGGGAGCATTTGCTGGTCCTTTCTCCAAGCGGCAAACTCTTTTGAGCTGCGTGTGACTGAAATGACCCCGGTTTGGCTGAGCTGAAAGGAAAATTGCAGAGAGAGGGGGGAACGGCAGCAAAAAGTTTCTCACCTTCGGAGTTCCAGCTAGGCATTAACCACCTTTAGCTGGAGGAGATTTATTTGTTTAATATTGCTTTAATCGAAAGGCGGCGAAAAAGAAGAGCGGAGATGATAAAGCTTTTATAATAGCTGAAAAAGCTGGACAGAAAGACTCGGCAAATTCAAGAATGACAAAAATGGGTATAAGGCAAAAGTAATTCAGTGGCTGCGTGGGCCTTTGGGGTCAAACTATGGTTTGCTTAATTGTGGCTCATGGACCAAACTACCTTGGGCTGGGGTGACACGAACAGTATGAAACACAGTAGACAGACCACAATAGCTGGATCCTCAACTCAGGAAAGCCGACATGATATGTTATGTTTAGCCTGACATACCGGCCTCAGCAATAAAATCTTAGTTTGTTGAATAACTGCCCAGGTTCTCTAATTTACAAATTGCAGGGCTGGCAACTGGTCAATCAATTCTTACTGGGCAATTTGGCCCAGTTAGCTCAGCTGAGGCCAAATAGCAGCAAAGAGAGCCCTTGAGAATTAGCATGGAGAAAGGCAACCACGTCTGCCATTCAGATTCTGCCCGGCCCCTTGCCAACTTGAGCGCGCGGCTTACCTTTGCAAGAATGAAATCGACGGGCTTGGATGTCACTTGGCACGTATACGGAGCCAAAGGTTCAGGGTCTCTTCCCAGGTTCTCCCAGCTTTCTTCATCCTCAACATCAACTAATAGGGGAAAATGAGAAGTCAACCTCTAGAACAGTGTTGTCCAAACTTGGCCACTTTAAGATGAGTGGATTTCAACTGCCAGAATTCCCCAGCCAGCCATGCTGGGAGTTGAAGTCCACTCATCTTAAAGTGGCCAAGTTTGGACAACACTGCTCTAGAACAGGGGATCAAAAATACACCGAAATTTTAATGTTACAGACTAACGGATGGAGGGAAGGGTCGGGGTTGTTTATTGAAGCCAAACA